GTCTTTCTGCAGAAAGTGTGCAAGTTGTCTGATGTCTCATTCAGCTGTTGCATTTGCTATTTGAATTGACAGTAAGCCCTTTGGGGCAGAAATATTATCCAATTTGATTATCGAGTGCTACAGTTCATGGGTCTATAAACCAGGAATTTTGAATGCTTTAACTGGCTATTGGTATTTCGTATGAGACTCTTCTGTTACCAGCTGCTTCTGTTTATCTGGCCTGCTTTGGAAGGGGGAGGAAGTACTATGATCTACAGTGACATAACAAACACAACATCTGTTTTGACATTTTACTAAGAAACAAATTTAAATATCTGGACTTATCTGGGTAAGCTCTCTCAAAAGCAGCATGGATAGCCTTACTGATTCCATTAATTTGATGAGAAGCTATGGGAAGGGGAAACTAACCTTAAATCAGGTTATAAAACAGTCTGCAGGGACTGGAGAAACGAGTCTTTCCTCCTGAAAAGAGACACTTCCCTCTGCCCCCTCCACTGTTACACCCTGCAGTGTCTAGCTAGGATTTGTCTTTTCCTCTTTTGTATTTTGAGCCTTGGAAGTTCACTACGCAACTAGTAATTATCAGGACTTCTCATCTTCTTAGACATTGCCTCTGCTGCCCCTAATCGAAGTGGACCTTAGCAGCTCTTACAGATAGTGTGCGTAGCTTGTACTCTGAATATTGGGCAAGAAGCCCCTCTGATTCAAACCGGAGGGGGACAGAAGCAGAGCAGGAGATGTCTATGAGAAAAATCTCTGGCCAGGACTAGTGGAATATCCAGGAGAACAAAGAGCGTCTCTAATCCCTTTGCGGTAACCCCTCTGACCAGCCTGGGAAAAACGTGCATGAGGCTGCAGGGGTGGCCCATGCATCCTTCCTCCCTGGAGAAAGGCTTCTCTTGAGCAAGGTCTTGCAGCTTGCCAAAAGCTTCTTACCCATCTTTGGGAAACGTAGCAGCACCACGGCAATTTCTGTGAGCTATTGAAGGAGGAATGCACTAAACTATTTTCAAGCGTCACTAGTGTGTGTATCTTGTGTTTTTTGAAAAGTAGGCTGTTAATGGCCTTCGTGTTTCCTTCTAAATAGACTTCTGGCCAAAAATATCAGCCTTTGCCTTTTATTGAGATGAATAACTTTCAGTATTGCTTCAGAGAGAACGTGCCTTTTTTGGCATTTATAAAACAGTATTTCATATTTTTGAGTAGGTTATTAATAATTTCTTATTTATGTTGAAGTGATGTAAGATGAAAAATTAATGTGGATGTTGCTTTCTGTTGCAGTTCTTACAAGCTAGTTGTGCCTCTGATGTACGTGGTCTTAAATGAAGTCAACGTTTTCCTTTGAGCTCTAGTTAACGTTCAAAATGAGGAATAATACCCGACATAGTATTTTCAGTCTGCTAATGTTTCTTTCATTGCATATTCTGATGAGTCATTATCAGCCTTATTACAGGAAAGGGAAGGTCCTTTGATGTGGTCCAAAACTTTGGCTATAGAAGTTCGTATACTAATGTTTCCTTTCAGTGAGTAAAGCACGAGGTGGAAAGCCAAGGGTTTGAGCCCTTATTCACATCCCAGTCTTACATTTTTGTGTCTCGTCTATCCACACAGCTAAAGAGAGATTAATATTTCTTCAGGAGGCTATTAAGCTTTTAGAAGATTCTTGAGACACTTCCGATAAAACAGTAAACATGCTAAAGATGTTAAACATTGGCTTGTGCAACTGGAAGTTGTGTTTAAAGGCTTAGTACAGGGACGGATGGAAGCTTTGACATGGGTACAGATTTGGAGGTATTTGCAGAGTCACCTTCTTCCACCATCCTTCTCTTCAACGTGAAAACAAGTTGTTACCGCTGGGTTTGTTGTCACTGCTGTCTGGACAGGAAGGATTGTATCTCCAGGGACGCTTGTTTTAGGCTGTTAGGATCTCCATCTCTTTAGTCCCTTCCCTGCTATTCTTGTCCAGGGAGGAGAGAGATGTTTGGAAGCTGTCTTAGGTGAAGAGGGAAGCAAGACTGAGGGGGGAGCACTGGCCGGTCGCAGTTCTCTGCCGTGCTGCCGGGCAACTTGGAGACGGGGCTGTGAACAGAAACGCCACCGTGTCCAGGGACTGAGAAGTGCCTTTAACCCACTTTCATAATTAATGTTTAGGGAGGAGGAGAGGGCCCTGCGGGATACATTAGCATTCACTGAACGTACGTGCAAACAGATGTTACCTTAAGTCGTATGGAAGAAAAGATGCCCACTGACCCAAATTTATCACGTTGTCCTGTTCAGTCTGTCTGAAATTTCCTTGCTCCGACTGCCAAGCATTAATAAGGAAACAATTCCTTATTTAAATGTTCTAGCACATATGTTTTTACTAAGTCATGAGATGCATTTAATGCATGTGGTCCATCTTGTCTGGGCTGCCACCGTCACTGTTGTTCTCGACTGAGGCCTCGTTAGCTCCTCGCTCGCGTGTGCGCCACTGAGACTTGGACTGGTCACAGCTGCGCTTTGCCAGGAAACTTGGTGCTTTGTAAACACTTAGGTTTGCTATTCTGAAATCTGTTAAATGGTCAGCACTTCTTTGAAAAGCAAATGGAAGCAATCTCGTGGAAGCAATCCCATGGAAACAAAAAACAATAAAAGTTTGTGGTCACTTGAAAGGATTCTGTTTCAGAAGTTTATTGCTGTTATTTTCTGCATGGGATACAGAACAACAGCTGGAGTAATTGCATGTGTGCCATGCAATTGTCATTTGCTACTTTTAATTATTGTCTGATTTAGTTGCCATGCAAATAGATCCTATACTATGTTTTTTTAATCTGAAGAGCGCTCGTGCCTTCTCAGGTTTGGAAATGTCACCTTGTCATCAAAAGTTCTTTTACATACCCTGCTTTCAATGACTTCAGTCTCAGATTCTTAAGTGGGAAAGTTATTGTGAAGTACGAGTTGGAGGAGGTGTTTCTTTGGTTGTCCAAAGTCAGATTGTATAAGGGGGCGAGCTATAACCTCGAGTATGTTTTTTAGTCTCCTTAAAGACCGTGAGAAGTTGAATGCTTTCTGCAATGCCAGATACCCGTGGTCAGCCCCGAGACCCAGTTCATCTCGGTGTTGGGCTTCTGCAACGTGGATGCCCTTCTGAATGGAGGTGGGTGCGTCTGTGGCAGAGGAAAGCAAGGAAGGAGAGGGGATATTTGAAGAAAATGCTATTTTTGCAAGTATAATAATTTTATTTCACGTACAAGTATTAGAGCATACCCGAAATAAAGTTTCGATACTGGAAACTGTGGAAATACTAGTGTTCTCAGTCATGTCCTCTCCCCCCTACACACACTCTTCTTGCACTAAAGAGCTGTAGTAACTCTTTATTAAGAACTATGAAGAGTATTTGGATGTCAGATGATTATTTTTTCCATTTAAATCTGAACATGGGAGTAAAGCTGAGAAGGGGCATAAGGTTTTTTTTGTTAGCTATAGCCAACTGTCTGCTAGGGAGAGAGGAAAAAAACCAAGAGGGTCTAGAAAAAGGGAGTGCTGAATGCACTGGCATCCTCCATGGGCTCGACTTCTGCACAGTTTACCTGCCTTTTCGGAGCATTCAGTATTCATCACCTAGTTGTTATGGTCTTTCCCATGTAGAGGCTGTTTATTGTCAGCTGCAAGCACCCTTAAATCTGGTTTAACTGTTGAAGGGCATTTTGTTTCCTCTGGAGACATTTAAACTATGTATTCAAGGCTTTGTGGTCTTGAGCCGTGGTGAGAACTGTTTTTGTGGTTTGTCATTGCGCTCTTCCCTATACTGTTGTCACAGAGTCCCATTTCAGCAAGAGTCTTAACTGCCAGCAGTAAGTTTAAATATATGGCTTTTTTTAACTGTTGCAGGGATGAGTTCTTCCTGGTGTGCACTGAAGTTTGTTCCCTTTTTTTTCCTTTTATTTCAGAGAGTCATTCCCAGGACCCGTATTGTGTTCTACAGTTGGACGATAGATTTGTGACCTCTGCTAAATTAATAAAATAAAATATATTTTTTGGATGGTACAATTTTCATTTTCCTTTTTGTAGAACAGTAAAAGTCGGTGTTATGTATTTGGTCTCCATCACGGTATTAAAATGCTCATTAAAATGTATAACTTCAGAACCAGTCTCTTCCATTTTTCTCATGTGAGTCACAGCAGAAAAGCCCAAATGACGGACTACTTCAGGCCCTGGGATATGTTTAGGCAGCTCGTAGTGGCAGAGTGTAATATATATGTAGGAAAGAGGCGTTCACACATCCTGCTCCCAGGCACCTCTGGGCACTGTTCTCAGACAGAAGTAGAAAAAAGCCCTTACTCATACGAAGGAAGCAAATAGAGAAAGGTTTTAGCGCATTCTTAGCAATGCTCTTAATTCAAACTGAGCAGGTAGTTTTAATGCAACAACATTAGACCCATGTGGTTATCTTAACTGGCTATTGCATAAACATTACTGCAGTTAAAATGAAACAAATGCTCTCAAGTTTATTGTAGAAGAAGTAACCACTTATTAAAGCTTGGCAGATTCCTGGGTTATTCTTTAGTGATTTCTGAGCCCGTTAACGCTTCGAGCCGTTGTACTTCTTATTTGCCTTTATTCTACGTGTATTCCCGGCGTTCCCCTACCGCGCCTCTCGCGGGGCGGCACCGCGGCCTGCCGACCGATTCCCCGGGTCGGGCAGCAGTCGCAGGGCCGGGGTGCAGCCCGGGGAGCTCGGAGAGTCGTGGGGCGCTCGGAGGCGCAGGCAAAACCAGCGAGTGGGAGGGAGCGCTCTAAGTTTTCAAAGAGGTAAAAAGCAATTAGAGTCTGGACGGAGGGAAATGATGCCTTGGAGAGGGTGAGGAAAAGGATTGCGGTTGCCAAAAAGTCAACTTTTGCTGCTTTGAACTTAAACAGAACAACCAAAAGGGTGTTTCAGGAGCTTAGTAACTTTGTGCTTTTTCTTTTTTTAATCGTATATATTTTTTTTTCATTCTCCTGCCTCTTTCTCCCCCCAGTTGCTCTAGGTCGTAATCAGCCCTTGAAAAAAGAGAAACCGAAATGGAAAAGTGATTACCCCATGACGGACGGACAGTTGCGCAGCAAGAGAGACGAGTTTTGGGACACGGCGCCAGCTTTCGAAGGCCGCAAGGAGATCTGGGATGCCCTCAAGGCTGCTGCACACGCGTTCGAGAGCAACGATCACGAACTGGCGCAAGCAATCATTGATGGCGCGAACATAACACTACCGCATGGTAGGTTCGTCGAAGGCGGACGTGGCCTGTGAAAAGCGTAGCAGTAGGTTACGCCAAATGTGTTTTTAACCTGAAAATCAATTGACCTACGCGCATGTGATATTTTTAAATAGTTGTATTTCAGAAGGCACCAATTCTATTTGGTGCTTCAAAGCAAAATTATGTTAGGTCGTAGAGGGGCCAGCAAGAGCTGGCTTCTTATAGTCGCTGAGATTTGAACGTATGATCAACAGATGGTATTAATGCACAGTTTAAGTGTCTGTTCTCTATCGACAACGCTCTTAACTTTCCGACTGGATTTTCTAAGGTATGGTTTTGCTAAGGTTTTCCAGCCTCGCTTTACAAGGCTGTAGAGTTTTTCCTGGTGTTATGGGTTCACTTTGACAACTTGCATTTTCTTTTAATTTTCTTTTCTGAAGAGTATGAAAATTTTTCCCAAAACCTTGAGGCTGGCAAACTTTTTTGAGATCCTGTACAGCGTGCGCTGTCAGTGCTTGTCATTTCAGGTACTCTCCCTTTCGCTCTGTTGCTCTGAGTTCTGGTTGTTGGGCGTTTGTGCTGCCCCACTCTGCCCCTCCGAAATGAATCGCTTCCCTTCGTGCCCAGTAGAAATACAGTGCCAATTCTCTAGTTTAAAAAAAAAAAAAAGGTTTGAGTGGATTTAGGGCTTCAGTGACCTAAATGTATCAGGGTGAAACTTAAAAAAGTATGTAAAAATAAAGGAGGCTCAACTGAAGCAGATGGTTCAGGTTAGGCTGTGCTTGGAGTCCCCTGTTCGAGAAGGAGCATGAAGAGATTTGCACCACATGCTTGTTGCAGACACATGGACCTGAATGCTGTATAAAAGATCACTGCACTGTGCATGTGCTGCCTAGGGTCTCCTGGGAAAAGGAGGATTTGAAAGACCTTGTACATTGCTGTCTGGGGTAACTAATGTTCAGGAGGTTGACTTCTCATATTGCCTTTTTCTTCCTTTTTTTGTTTAGAACCTCAATTTCCTGAACCACTCACGGTAGACTGTGTATTCAGTTTGGAACGAGGGGGTAGATTTTTTTTGTCAATAATTTTGGGGTTTGTCTGTCTTTTCCTGTAGCGTGTCCTACACTCCAGCGTGAAACATTACTAGTAATTGTGGATCAGCATGTTGTTTTTCCCCACTTCTGTTCAGCAGTCAGAGCTGGATTTCTTCAACGCAGCTGAGAGGTGGAAACCTTTTCTGTTGGAATGTGACCCAGCTTTTCCATAGCTTGTGAGCTGTCTATTGAAATCCTCCAAATCATTTGTTAGGATTGTTTGTTTTCAAAGCAGTTTGTACTTTGTTGTTTTGACTGATAAGAGTGAGTTTTCAGTCAAGGGCAATTATGCATATGGAAATGATTTGTGTAGTAGCTGTAGCTTTAAAGAAAAATTGGTCAGTTATTTCCAGAACATCCTAGTCTTGACAACATTTTGGAGGTTTGCATTGCGTTTTAGACCCAGAGAATCGGAAAGAGAAAAATAATTCCCCTGTTGCGCGCTAGTATGATTTTTCAAAAAGCCTCTTCTAGCAGCAGTCGCTTTAAGTCTGGAGAGTAAACTTTCTAAGGCAGATTTACTCAGTTCTTCAGTCTTCCCTTCTGCCCGTAGCTATGCTCTCTCAGCTGGGTAAGGGGTGTCTAGAAAGAGGAATTAAGCTGTCTAATGTGGTACTGGTACCAGAAGACCTCTTTCTACCTGTGCTTCATACCATGTTTCTTTCTTTGTAGTAGTAGTTCATAAAACTGGTCAGAATCTGTAAATCCTAAATTACCTTCTAGGCTTCAGAAATTACCTACTAGGCTTCATAGTTTTATACATCGATACTATATTTAAACAGAGTGTTAAATGTGTTCTGTGACCAGAAAACAACAGAGTATTCTCCTGAATTGATAGTGTGATGGGATTTTTTTTTCCTTCCAAAACATGTACGTTGTCAAAAATATCGCAGAAGAAGGTGGGTATTTTGGAAGCTGAGGAACTGTTTGGAGCATCAAGAAACTTGTGAGCTAGAGGGGTGCTGTATTCAGGAGGAGCATCTGGCAAAATGGATAGCTGACATGCCTGGTAAATCTAAGTCACCATTCAGATAATTGGAAATAATGAATATCTCAGAGATCGGGTGTTTGCAGACCTAAAATAACCAGTTCCTTGTTTGGCATTTCCTTTTAGCTTAGTTGCTAAAATAAAAATGTTAGAGGTCAAGAGACTTAATGTTATATATATGGGTTAACTTTAACAAAATGCCTTCCACGATGATTTCTTATCGCTTATATGAGTTGCCCTCTAGATTGGATTTTAGCTTAGCGTAAAGAATTACCTCTTAGTATGTGAATGTCCACCCTCTGCTGTGAAGGTCTCCTTTTCCTTATGGCTATGCATTTCCACTATACAAAAGACCGACAGAAACATGATTGTTTTAATAAATAAAAACTTGAATCACAGAGCATGCTTTTGCAGTGAGAGGGAGATTATTTATCTAATGTGGTTACAGAATTTGCTAGACCCTGGTAATGAGCTATTTTGACACCATTCGATTATGTATTCAGTTTAAGTGTTGCAGAAGTGTACATACGAACAGCACTTCCACAGGAAATGTTAAATTTATGGCATCCAATCATGCAAAAAAGCTGTCTGACATGTTAGGTCTCTACTTCCTATCATTAGAACGGCATAACAGCTTGTGATTGCGGAGGAGGATTTTGTTCAAGTGGGAAAGTTTAAGCAATTGAAGTGTGCTTGAAAGAGAGTGTCTTCGGATTTTGGGATGGACTCACTTGTGCGTGCATTCATTTAACCTATTAGAAAGGAGGATGTGCAGTGAATAGTTTTGACTCTACTTAAAGTTTTGAAAATAGTGTTTCTTAGCTTTTTGGCCAACTGCTTATTAAGCTTATTCAGAGTTTTGTTCAGCCTTATTCAGGCTTTAAGTCCCAGCGGTTCTTGGTTGCAAGCAAAAATCTGAAACTGGGCAGCCTGAGGAGATCAGGGTGAATGCCGTGCCTTGCAAATTAGCTCTTTTAATGTTGTTGTGTGTAATACTTGAGGGGAAAGAAATATGTGCACTCTTAAATTCTGGCTCTTCAGCAGACAATACACTTGGGGGACCGCCAGCCAATGGCAGACTGGAGCCTGTGTTCGACGGCCCACATATAGAATATTCAGAATATTTCAGAAACAAGTTGGGAATCAGAATTGTATTAGAGGCTTTGTTGCCCAAGCCAGGCTTGGCCTTCAGGTTAGACTCCAAATACAGTTAGTCCAGAACTTGAGAATATTTTGAATATTTATCCTAGGGTGATCTTGAGTTTAGCAGTGATTTTTTTTTTTCCTACTCACAAGACTGAGTTGCTTTTTATCCAACTTTCTGCCTTCCTGCTGGTGATACTTCTCTTGTGCATCAACGGCTTGCATAGTTTTCTATGTTGTGTGACCTTTCCGCTACAGAGAAAGCTGCTGCTTTTAGAAATTCCTGTATTTCTTAGTCATCAAGCGTTGTTAGTGTCATGCGTGAATAGATTAGAAATAAAAGCTTTGCATTTATGGGCTCAGTAATGACTGTTAGCAAACTGAGCTGATCTCTGAGCAGGTAGAACAAACACTTTAAACTGTCCTCATTCCAAAGAATTCCAAAAAACTCCATGTTTCGGTTTACAAAAAGTCAGTTGGTGCAAAGTTAAGGAGAAGGGAAACAAGCTGTTAAGAAATCCGGCACGTCTCTTGCTGCTGTATGTGCGTTAGCTAGCCAGTCCTGTGCTTACCTCACTTTCTACCATCTAGATTTAATTGCGGGCTCGTAACTAATGCAGGTGCCACCTCACAAACTCATCTTTTGTGCCCCTCTTACCTTCGACAGCTGCACGTACACCCCCCGTCCAGGCCTGCGTCCTCTGCAACACACTTGGAATGGGAGAGCCTTGCAAAGCCTCCTTAAATACCACATAGAAATGCCTGCACAGCCCACGGTCTCACCAGAAACCCTGGCAGAAACTGCTGGGGAATGCCAGGGTGCCTCCTTGGAGCTGAGGCTTTGTTCCCTCAAACGGGAGGGAAAGGGAAAGCTTGCTGCTCGGGCTAGGCGTGGAAGTGCTCTGTAGTTCCTCAAAGAAAGAAAGCGTTTAGTAAGATGAAGGGTGGTCCTCACTCAGTTCAAGTTTTTTTTTTCTTTTCCCCCCTAAGCAAATAATTTGAGGTGGAGCTCTGGCATTTGTGTACATGAAAACTTGTATTTGCTGCAGGGGGGAGGGTTGGCAGGCAGTTGGACGCTGTTCCTTTGATTTCTTAGTTCATCAAAGAATATTGATTCCCGAGGAAAGCTATGTAACCAACATCAACTAGAGTAAATTATCCTTAACTTTATTGAAAAAAATGGAGTATTTTTGTCTATTATTTTTCTCTTCTGAAGAAATAGCTCTTCTGCAAAATGATGCAATAAATTGTTACTATGAGGCGAGGGCATCTCCTCTCATGTCTTTTGTATGTGCCCAGCTGAGGCTTTAAAAAAAAACCCCAAACCCCTACACCTACCTTTTAACGCTGCCATGAGACAAGCACATTGTGTACATATTCAAACTGTGTATTACGTGCAAAACTAAACCTTCCGGGAAGCGGAGGGCTGGGAAGAGAGGGTTGGGGAGGGGGCAGGCAGTGACGGAGGGTTGCAGATAGAGATACTAGCCTAGCTGGTGCTGCAAAAGTAAAATTACTCTTTCATTGTGAAACCCCGTAGGGAACTGAGAAAAAAACACATCTCTTCAGCAGTGTTTTCAGCCAGGTATGTTACTTGTATAATCTGCGTGAGGAAACCTCTAACCAATTTAATTTTTCTAATGGATGCCTTTTGCTGTATTCCGCGGTTAAAAATAGCACATAAGCAGTATTAAATAAATAAATAAGCCCGTGGGATGGGCTTAGCACTTCTCATCTATCTTGGGTGCCTCTGTGGGACGTATATAAAAATAGAAATAACGTTATCTCCAATTTAT